ATGACTGAACATGACTGAACATGACTGAACATGACTGAACATGACTGAACATACAATCAACAATCATATAATACAATGTTTCACACCAACAATATCAAAACCTACCTAAAGAGAAAAATCAGAAAAGAAAATTAAAACTTACCACGTGTCTTTGATCTATAGCTTTGCTCCAGGCTAATGTAGACTTGCATGAGAGGGACATGCTGGATCTGAATCTGCAACCCAAATCTTGTCTGTAGCAAGATGTGGAAGGAGGAGGCCTGGAAAATGCTGATGTCTCCTAAAATAAACAGGTGGATATAAAATCACACCTTGAAGCAGGAGCTTGAAGAATAATGTTTGATTCAGAATGATCCTCTGACCCACCTGAGTTGTACGGTAAAGTGACAGTCTGCTGGTTCTGCATAACTGTGCCATCAGAGTTGAATGTTAGGACCTGATAGAATAAACAAGGAGTCAAAAAAAGTTGCAGGCTCCAATTTTAATCTTTAAAAAACAGCTACTTTTAAAAAGATTTTTTTACTCACGTTGTTTTTGTCATTGTTTAGCAGGATTTTCAGGGCCTTCAGGCATGTGTCAAACTGTTGGTGAGTGCAGGGAACCAACTGGGCCAGGAGTGTAAACTTTGGGCTCACTTCATCCTGAAAAGGATTTTAGGATTTATTTTTTACAGTTGAAAAAAGTCTGAAGAAATTGTCATCATACTGCACTAGTGGGGTTGCAAACTCCCTGAATAAAAAAAGGGACACCTCATGTGCGTCCCAGCTGTTTGCCTTTAACCCTCCTGTGGTGATTTTTTTTCAGAGCCCCTTTGTGTGTGAAATTATTATTTTTAACTATTTGACTGAAATCTGCATTGAATTAGTTGCATCTTTGTGAGCGACATGAACACATGGAAAACTTATTATTATCCAGCAATTTACTTTAATGCAAAATAACAAACTTTCCTGAATAAAATAAGAATCCTAAACATAAGCCTGTCCTGCTCAACTTTAAAATGCGAAAATGAATATAAAACTCAAATAAATAGTGCACATTTTAGGTGCAACAGCAAACTTGTGCAAATTTGTTAACATATTTGTGCCTTAATTGCAATGACTGTAGCCTACAGTTGTAAAACAGAAAAAAATCATTAGCTCTATGCAACATAATGTGGTTTGCAGCAGTGAGGAGTTTTTTGTCTTTCAGTGCTGCAGAGTAAAACTCTGAGCAGGACAGTTCATGATTGAGGCTGACAATGAGCTCAGTTTTAATCAATTAAGTGGAATTTTTTTCTGCTCTTCAGTCCATTTGTTCTTCATTCAGGAGAAAATCCTTTCCACAAAACCAGTGGATGATGGGACGCTGAGGACACAGCAGCTTGGATGTTAGGAAGTTCAGCTTCCTGAAGAACTTCCATCCACCTCTCTGCTGTTCCTTTGGACTCCCAGGATTCCTTTTCCTTTAAATTCCTCCTTTCGTCCCTCATCCTACTCTGTTGTCTCCTGCTATCTTCTCTGTGAGCAAAACTTGGCTCGACCAATGGGATGAGGGGATTCTGGACCGTTACATATATGCCGTCAGCTCATTGGTCACAATGCAGGACAGGGAGGGGAACAAGTTTACCGTAAGTTTTGTATCTAACGTGCCCTTGTTCTTCATTTTCTTTTTACTGACTATTTTTTAACTCTCACAGTAATACGGGACAAAGTGTGTTCCTTTTCCACTAAATACGAGACAAGTGCTTCTATTTCTAAAAACGAAACAATTCAGTTTTTCAAGAGACGGCTGGAAACCTGATGCACTACACACATCATTTTTACACCTACCACAAGAGTTTGATATAGATATTTTACCTTGCCTTCCACCTTTGCCAGAGTGTAGAAACAGTCTCCGTGAAAAATGTAGGTTTTCCCATCAAAAGTTGTAAAATGAGAACCTCCTTCAACTGCACAGGTGGCAGGTTTTTCAATGCTGATACAATTCCACAGGCCCTCAAAGCATGTGCTTTAATAAAAAAGCAAGAACAACATAGATTTAGATAGTCTAATTGACACATTTGGCATAGATGTATATACACCAGACATAAGGTACCATTCCTCTCGATCTTGTTGGTAAATCTCTCCAGGGTTGTAGATTTTGTCATGTTTGCACTGACATTCAGCCTGAGGAACACAGCCTCTCTCAGAAATATCATCAAACACAGTTCCTGAGGAAAGACCATTTTAGCTTAAATTTATATAAAGAAATACAGTTTGCTTTTATTTGGTAGTGGGATGTAAACTAACCGGAAGGACAGAAGCAGCCGTCCATTTTGTGGTCTTCACAGAATGAACTAACATCTTGATGCGTGCAGGTATCCATGCAGGGGGAACCACTTTCTTCATATACCATGTTGTAAGGACACTGTTTCTCTGCAGGATGAATCATGCCAGTTAAAAGCATTTCAAGAGACTTGTCCTTTAGGGATTTTTGGAAAGATGTTAACGGAAGGTATTTAAAGTTTTTGTGTAATTTTTTTGTCTGATTATTTTTTATTTAAATATTTTCCAAATATTTTTTTAAATA